GCGAGAGCGCACGCGTGCGAGAGAGAGCTCTTTTACAAAATGAAATGCCACCTAAGTCTTAAATCTATCCCATGATTTTAAGAATTTGTCTTTAAAAAACTCCCTCGGGAGCATGAAATCTACTGGCTCCATGCCATTAATAGTGGTTATCTCTGAGCGGAGGGATTAAGAGTCTAACCCTCACCTGACTATCTTTCACAGCCTAGCATTATCAGATTTCTATAAACCTAACCTAATGTGTCTACTTAAAATTAATCAACAAGACTATATGAACATCTATTTGCCTTATACTTGTCATGTACTATATGGACAACCACCCGGATCAATTTTTGATGTGGTAAAAGCACACAACATGCTTGTTTATAGGAGACAGCTGTTTTTTAGCCTGCCTAGTATCTGGTCCTCCTTTCCTCTGATATTAACACCTCAATTTTCCTTTGGGGAAATAATGCTCTCCCAGTCTCAGTAATGCATTTCCAGAGAGGCTGATCTCATTCCAAGCCCCAAGGTGAGCATAAAACCCAAGTCAGTCTAATAAGACTTAATCCCATTACCCTTTGTTTTAACTCAGGGGTAGGGGACGCTCCTTCCATTGAAGTTAAGAAGCTGAATAGAAGATAAACTGGTGGCCATCTTTTCTGAAAAATTAAATATATCAAAACATTAAAAATAGTTATCTTCAAATAGTATGGATGGTATTTTTCTCCTACCTAGTGTTGCACATTCTTTAATTTTGCAGTCTTTTTCTTAAAAAACTATTTAGCATATAATACAATTCTGGAATTAAGTGAAATTAAAATTTAATAGCATTAATAAGAATTACAAAATAACCCACTATAACTTTCTCTGTGACTCAATTCCCCTTATCATGTATAAACGTGGAAAAGGAGAAAGCAGTTATAACCAAGAATAGCATGCTCAAAGCCCAGACTGGCTATATCTAATAATGTGTTTGTGTGTGGGAGAGAATCAGGAGACAGTGGTTGTAGCAATCAAGGCATGAAGTAATTAGAACAAAATCCTTAAATGCCATTACTTGGCAACCACCTAATTTCTTTCACTTAAAAACATGTGTCATGCGTGTTCCTCCTTATAACATGGTTCACAAAGAAAATAATTAAGGAAACATTTAGCAAACTTTTCTTAAATACTCATTATCGCCCAGGCCCTCTCACAGAACAATTACAATTTACTGATTAATCCGGGACAATCTCTAAGTAAGCTAGGTGCCACAATCAAAACATACACATAATGTCCAATGGAAAAGACAATTGATGACAATATCATGCCTTTCCAGGTCTGCAGCTTCCTCTCTCAATTCTACCCCCGGTTCCACAATGATCGGACTACAAGGCTATCAAGTATCCTGTCTTTCCTGACAGGAAAAGATTGAAGTCTCTGAGCTACTGTCATTCAAACAAGAGTACCCTCGCTACAGATGTAGTCTCAGCCCAGCCTACCTGTCCAAAGTGAGCAGGGTAGCCCAGCATGTGCATATATAGTAATTTTGCCACATTCCGACACCGGTATGTATTATCTTCTTCTCTAAAAGATGACCGGATTGCAGCACATTCTTTCTGGATCATTTCTCGTTCTTCGGCTTGGGTTCGGGCTGTCCGGATGGTCCGGATCAGCTCCCGCAATCTGATGGGGGCTGGCATCCTCTGGATATGGAAAGAGAATAAACAAAAATGTTCACACAGTTTTACTACCAAAACCATTCACACAACTTTCCAAGTAAATTTCTGATTTTTAAGAATTCAAGACTTGCTAAGTCCAGTGATACAAAACTTCAGTAAAGCTTACATATAAATCTCTTAATTCAGTTAATTTCTGGGAAGAATACAAACAAAAGATGTTAAGTATGAAATTAAGCAAAATAAAACAGAATATACCAATATGCAAAGTCTATCACTAATATCAAAATATCTTAGGAACTAACGCAAGCCAAATCTTTTACTCAATCTTTAAAGTAATAAGGAAAGGCTTATGCTTAACCTTTGAAAAAATACATATTTTCTGCTCAACTATTCTTAAGCTCAACATAGTTCGACAAAGTATCAGATGAATATTGAGTATGATCATGATAAAAGCTCAACTCAACAGTGAGACATTAAGAGAGAAGGCCAATTATCAAATTAAACCACCCTTCTAAGAAATGGTAATCAAGGGCAGCCGAGTGGCTCAGCTGGTTAAGAGCTCGTTCAAAAGTGTGAGCTCTGAGCAACAGCGGTTCGATGCCTGGCCCGAGCTGAGCTGACGCTGAGTTGCCAATAGGTGGCAGGATGGCTCAGCTAAAAGAAAAAAAAAAGAAATTATAATCATCTCAGAACACTGGGTGCTCTTTGAAATGTGAGGAGGAAAAAATGATAAACCAATCTCAGTGGATAAGAGTATTAGTGTCAGATTTTCATGAATGTTTTTTTAAAGTAAAATAATAATAATCAAAGACCTATGATAGCCAAAAACAATATTAAAACAAACAAAAGTTGGAGAACTTGGACTACCTAATTTCAAGATATACCACAAAGCTATAAGCAATCAGGACAGTGTGGAACTGAATTTAAGGAGCAAAACAAAAATTTTAGAGACTAATGGAGCAAAACAGAAAGTTTAGGAATAGACCCACATAAAATATGCTCAATGGTTTTCATCAAAGGGGCCAAGGTTTTTCAATAGGAGAAAGGTAGTCTTTCAAACAAATGGTGCTAGCACAACCAACTGTCAATATGAGGGAAAAAATAACGTTGGACTCTAACATCACACAATACACAAAAATTAATTCTAAATGGGTCATAGACCTAAAATCAAAGCTAAAACAAAATCTTCATAAGAAAACACAGGAGAAAAGCTCTGGGAACTTAGGTTAGGCAGAGATTTCATACACAACAAGCACAAAATATCAAAAAAAAATTTTTAATAAATTAGACTCTAAAAATTTTAAACTTTTGCTCTTCAAAGAATGTCATTATGAAAGTAAGGCAAGCATAGAAAGAGAAAAAATACTCTCAATTCCTGACAAATGACTTTGTTCAGAATTTATCATTTTACAACTCAATAAGACAATCTTATTTTAAAATGAGTAAAAGATCTGAACAGACACTTCTTAAAAGAAAATATATGAATGGCCATAAGCACATGAAAAGATGCTTCATGTCACTAACAGCAGTGAAATGCAAATTAAAACTATGAAGAAATAACACTCCAGACCATTAGAATGGCTAAATTTTTAAAAACTGGCCATAACAAGTGTTGGTAATATACAGAATAAGTGAACTTTCACAGACTGTTCTGGGAATGCAAAATGGTTCTACTTTAGAAAAGTTTGGAAATTCCTTATACACTTAGCATATGACTCAGTAAATCCACTCAGTATTTACCAAAGAGAAGTATTTATCCAAGAGAAAAGAAAATATATGTCCTCACCAAGATTTGTACACAAATTTTCATACAAACCTCATTTATAACTGCCAAAAAACTGGAAACAACCCAAATATCCATAAACAGATAAAGGATAATAGTATATTCATATAAAGGAATACTTCTCAGAATAAAACAGAACCAATCTATCACACAGAAAAGTCTCAAAAACATTCTTTTGAGCAAAGCAAGCATGCACAACAGAGTACACATTGTATGATTTCACTTACATGAAACTCAAGGAAACTCAAGCCTGATCCATAGCGATGACAGAGATCAATGATGGCTGGGGCTGAGGGTAGGGATGGAGATTGACTGGGATACAAGGAAATATTCTGTGGTGACGGAAATGTTTGTGATGGATATACTATTTCTCAAAAATCACTGAACTTCCCTTTCCGTACACTTAAAACAGGGCATTTTACTGTATATATATATTATACCTCAATGTTAAGAAAAATAATAAAACTAGGTAAAGCTATCACTACAATAATCTTCAGCACATATTAGCTGTGGAACCTTTAAACCAATGAGTCTCGATGTTGTTCTAATCCAACATACCAGAAAGTATCCCACTCCCGTTACTTCACTGTGACATCAATGTTCAAGGGGGGAATAGTGCATTAGGAATTTAGAAAAGCTCCCTAATATGCTCCTCGATATTAGCCCTCTTGACATTGCATGTCCTAAAGGAGATAAAGCTACCTGTACAGTGTTGTTTTGTTACTTTTTATTAGAAATACTCCAGGGTCTAGTATTTAAAGTTTATAAAGCACTTTTACATTCATTACCTTCATTATTTCATTTGTTCCTTAGACCATTTTGAACAAAGGGCGGAGAGATCATTATCCCTACTTTGTCTATGAAGAAACTTGGTCTCAGAGCAACTATGCAACTTGCTTAAGATCACAAAGGTATTAAGTGACAGCGCTAGCCTGCACCTGAACCAGGTCAGGCTAGAGTTCTTCTCAATACTTCAAAAATGAACATTATATTTACAAATGAAATTATATAATTGCTAGGTTTGTTTTAATATACTCCAGGGAAAAAAGGAAGAATTGAGGAGGAAGAGAAAAAAATGAAACAAGATGGGCAATATGCTAATTATTGCTGAAGGTTTATAAGTACATAAAGGTATATTATTCTCTATTTTCATGTATATTAGAAGTTTTTCATAAACTTTTTAAAAGTAAAAAAGCTCCAATTAACAAGGCATTTGAATCCTTAACATTTTTCACAATTTTAAAAATTTTAATAAAGATCTATTTAAAGAAGTACTTTCACATTAACCATAAATACAACTGACTTTAGAATAAAACACAATTTAAAAGAAAGCAAAATCAATATGCTATATATAATATCAACATAGTGGAATATAACTAAGAAAAGTATAAACTTACTACAGCTCTCAGACATCAAGAACTAAATATAAAATCAGTTTTTGACTGTCCAGAGCCCAGTGATTCCAATTTCAAAAAGAATCTTATTTATCATTAATCCTTAGTGGATGGTAAACAAGAGAAATGAGGGCCAGTAGAGTGACTCAGTTGGTTAAGAGCTCGCTCAAGAGTTTGAGCTCTGAGCAACAGCTGTTCGATGCCCGGCCTGAGTTGAGCTGCTGCTGAGCTGCCAACAGGTGGCAGGATGGCTCAGCTAAAAATAAATAAATAAACAAGAGCAATGTATGGCAACTAAAATCAACAAACATCAACTGGGAATACTCTTCTAGGAAACAACTTTGCTCTATGAAGACCTCAATGATTCTACAAAGCAAACAAAGACTCAGAAAAAGCCTAAATCTTATCCCAAAACGTGTAGTCCAACAGGAAAAATCACAAAAGTTTAAGCCAGCTGAGAGAAAAATACGTTACCTGGAGCAACTACTCAGCTGTCAGTTACAGAATAACAAAAATACAGTTCATGCCACTAGCTCAGCCTGATTCACGTCTCGCAATTCTACCATTCAGCACTCTTGCTCCAATACTAGGCTGCCTCTAGCTTAGAGAAAAGCAGTAATTTTTTTCCTTGATCTAGGATAACTTAATACTACTTGATTTCTTTACATACCACACAAAAAAATCTTAATAGACATGGAAAGAAAAGTCAATTCACATAAAGAATTTCATATATTTCACAACACATTCTAAGAAATAAACAAAACTAAACAAAAAGTTCTGGTTCCAGGGAAGATGGAGTACATATACTCCATAGAGACTCCTGTCTCTCCCTTTGAATACAACTATAAATCCTGGACAAAATGTATGCCACAGCCACCTGAGAATTCCGGAAAGTAAATGACAGCAAGCTGATTAAAAGAAAAGAGAGCAGAAGTTGAAGTTCCATCCAGTTGGCAAGAGGTTACAATTTTTCCTCCAGATCTGCCTGGATACAAGGGCAGCCCCAAACCCGGAAGTGTCCCCTCTTTCTGGTCCGAAGAGCAAGAAAAGGAAGATAAAAGATACTAGAGAAAAGTCTCTCTTGACTTTTCGGGTTTTTCATTCTCTACCCCAGCCACTAGGCAATACTACAATGGTGCTGGCTTTGGCAGAACAGCAATGGCAGTAACAGCCAGGAAGGCTCCTAAAAACTGAGGGACAGGAATTCTTCTCTCTAATTAGAGGAGGTGTGATCCCAAGAGCATGGAATAAATCACTCTCTATCCTCCCACTGCTTGATAAAAGAGTGAATTCACCAAGAAAATATAACAATCCTAATTGCAAATGTACCTAACAATAAATGGTAAAAAAAAAAAAAATACATGAAGAAAAATGGACAAATATGAAAGGAAAAAATTTTACACCCCAATTATAGTTAGAGACTTCAACATGCCTCCTAGTAAGTGATGGAACTACAGAATCAGCAAGGATATAGAAGACCTGAATGTCATCATCAACTAACTGGATCTACCATTTATAGAATACCCCAACCAACAACAGCAGAATATAGTCTTCTCAATTGCATACAGAACATTCACCAAAGCAGACCATATCTTGGGCCATAAAAAGAAGAAAAAAAGTTTAAAACTTTAAACAAATGAAAATCATACAAAGATCTCTGACTATTGTATTGGGTTGTTGGAAAAGTCATGACATATTTTTTCTGTTTTTCGTTGCAAAAATGCATCATGACTTTTCCAACAACCCAACAGAATTAAACTAGAAATCAATAACAGAAAGTAACTAGAAAAATTTCCAAGTACTTGGGAATTAAACAATATAGTCCCACGTAATCCATGGGTGAAAGA